AGTTTAATAAAGAATATGATACAACTTAAAAAAAAAACTATTCATAATTTTTCCAAACATCTTTAAGCAAGCTAGGAACAGGCTGGATATTTAAAAATACAAATAAGGATATTTATGGGAAAGAAAACTGAAACCAAACATAGTTAATACAATATCTTAAAAATGATTTTTTTTAAATCAGGAACAAGGAATCAGGAACATCCTTGAGGCCTGATGTTGCCACTTCTTTTCAAGAATGTTTGCAGTTCCAAGCCAATGCAAATAAATCAAGACCAAAATAAAAGCTGTAAGAATTGAAAAGGAGAAAAAACCCTTACATTATGATGCTATAGAATTAAAATGGCATGGTATTGGCAAAGGGATAGGAAATCATATAAATCAATTTAGTCCCCGCCAAAATTTATATGTATGTGAAATATTGTATATTATAGAAAGCATATTATAAATCAGTGTGGATAAACTATGAGAAGTTGATGCTAGGCAATCCATATAGAAAAAAAATGAATATTATATCCATACCTCATATCATATGCAAAAACAGATTAAAAACATAAATGTGAAAGTCAAACATTTTTAACACTTACTAGGATTAGGGAGACTTTTTTCTAAAGCCCTACACAAAAAATATAGCCCTTAAAAATAAAACATTGATGATTTTGACACATTAAAACTAAATCATCTGTATGACCAAAAAAAAAAAAAGTGAAATGTGACGTTTGCCCTAGATATAACAGACAATGGATTAATATGCAGAACATATAAAGAAATCAAACAAATCAATCAAAAAATAGAAAATGTCTAACAGACATAAAACTTGATGGCAAAAAAAAAAATGTCACTAGTAAACTAGAGATGCAAGTTAATACTATAGCAAATCATCACTACATACCCACAGTAAGGCTGGAAGGGTTCATTTTCGTAAGGGCGGGGTCAGTGAAAAAGATCTCTACTATGTTGGCAAATTGTAATTTAACACAAGCTCCAGAGCAATCTGGCAATGCCCCATGATTGTTCTATTTATTTCTGACTAGAGAAACTCACATGTGCCTAAGGAAGTGCTATATGCTGCAGGCAAATTGCAAAAAATTGGAAAGGACCTGTCCAACCATTAGGAAATGGATAAACTGTTAATTTTTCTCCATATGAAGGAGCAACTATAAAGAACAAATCAGACCTTTGTGGCTGGACAAGGTGAGTTAAAACAGCAAGTTGCAAGAGTATAGTATAATACGCCCTATATAAGTCATAGAAGCTCACAAAATACTACATATTGTTCATATTTGTATGTGGGGGGCGGGTAAAAGTGTTAAGTCATACCATGGAATGATGTCCACAAACTTTTGACCATCTGGGAAGGGTAAAAAGAAAAGACAGAGGGCTTCATCTGGCCTGTAATGTTTTACATTTTAAAATCTGAGGGCGCTTGGCAGGCTCTGGAGGAAAACATGCAACTCTTGATCTCAGCGTGGTGAGTGCAAATCCCATGTTGGGTGTAGAGATTCCTTAAAATAAATAAAAATTTGAAAAAAGTAAAAAAAGATAAAATCTGAAGCAAAATGGTAATTCATTAAAGGTAAATTGTTAACATCTCTATGGAAAAGTATAGGAGAGGGAGAAGAGATCTGCTTCAGACGGAACTGATAGCGGGTTCTGGGTCATGACAGTTTTTACCATACAGGTGAAAATACCAGTGCTAAAACACTCCAGAAGGGGATTCAGTCAGTGAGGTAGGGGACCGGTAAGCAGGATGCTCAGTCACAAGATAATTTATACACTGAAATAAAATGCAAACCAAGAAGAAAAATGCCTTCAAGGCCCAATTATATTCCACTGATGAAATAAATGCAAATTCTAATTCAAGAGAATGAAAACACAGTAACCTATCACATTCTTCTATACTGCTACAAACCCACCATAGACCCTTCTAGGGTTCATTTAGTCGAGGGTTGATCAAATCCACTTTTTTGTTGTTGTTGTTGTTGTTAGCTAAAGTAAATTATCTCATTTCAGGGTTAATTTGTAATAGCTTTTCAAACAATCACTTATTCACCCACTGAATAATTATTTGTTGAATCTCTGTAAACAGCATTTTGCCAGAGGCTATGGAGGAATACAATGGGAGGAAACTAGGAGCTCTTTTCTTTGGACTCATTTAATCTATGTAACAAACTATGATATAGTTACTGTTTTTCCCATCTTATAGGTAAAATGAGATTCAGAGAACTTAAAATCTACCCCAAGTCACCATGCTGACATAGCATCAGCCCTGATTCAAATTGTCAGACAACCTCAAAACCCATACCCTTTCACTATACAGTTAGCTCTCAGGCCCAGAATAGGTCTTTTGTCTGTCCTGCTCTACTTCATATGGGCTGTACTCACAATATACCAGGAGTTACAGTTTTCCAAGCACCAGACAGTATAGTCAGGCTAGAAGAATACTGATAGAACTTTTGAACCAGTAACTCCTACTCAGTGATTGAGAAGATAATGACAGAAAACCTGAGAACAAAACAAAACAAACAACAAACAAAAACTTTACTGTAGACCCAAGATTAAAAAATAAATTTAAAAAGGTAAGGAACAAAGTAAACAACTAAAATCCTCCACACCAGGCATTTGTACCAAGAACTTTGCATATACTTCTAAAATCTAATTATATTATCACACATAGCATGAGCATCATCAGCTCATTTCACAGGTGAGGAAACATCTGTATACAAATAACTTGCCTAAATTAACAGAGCTAGTTACATGAAGCCTGCATCTGAACCAGGTAGTGATTCCCAGGTGGGCATGGTTAATCACTAACAGTTCTATCCACTTTTTTGTACCCAATGAGAAATGTATTTTCTTCCTTTTCCTTTTTAAAGATTTTATTTATTCATTTGAGAGAGAGAGAGAGAGAGAGAGCTCGAGCACAAGCAGGGGGAGAGGCGGAGGGAGAAGCCGACTCCCCGTGAGGCTTGATCCCAAGACCCGGAGATCATGACCTGAGCCAAAGGCAGATGCTTAACCATATGAGCCACCCAGGAGCCCCAAGAAATGTTTTTTCTATTTTAGATCGTGATCCAACATGTACACACCCATATAAAAGTAAGCTAACTTCTGCGAAACATTATTTACCTCAATAGTGTGTATCAAGAAAAAAGTTTTTAAGATGCTGTTTTTGAGTCGTGAAATTAGTTTATCATTAACCATGATTTTAAAATGCACAATGCTTAATTGCTTCAAAGATACAGTATTTATTACAACTATAGCAGCAAAAAAAGGGCAGGAAAAGGAAAAAAACTAAATGGCACTAAGTGGTTAGTCACAGAGCTGACTGATAATTATGAATATTAAAAAAATTGCTATTCAGAGAAAATACAATATGTACATTACTTAGATGATGCATAATGCTTATATACATAGGAAATATATAAATATAAAATAGCTGTCTTAAGGTAAAAAAGGATATAGACAATTACATTTTTATTTTTAATTTATAAAGGGTTTTATTTTAACTTACAAACTACTAAGAGACCAGATTATATCCACTTCGCTTTTATTTTCTTGGCCACAAAACAATTCACCGATGTGTTCTTTTTTAAATACCTGTTCCAGATCATGGTACAAAGTTTTTCAATCAGTTGTATAATGTTAGGAAAACTTTTATGCCAAAATATAAAGCGGTAAAACAAATCAAACCAAAAATCCTCTCCTAATATTTTTTAAAAAGTGAGAAGTTGGAACCAAATAAGTGACAACATTAAAAGAGAACAGAGGTTTGCAAGCACCTCCTAAAGCCACACACATTTAAGCATTACAGAAATATGCCTCCAACCCCTACCCCCTTCACCCAGTGCCTTTGATCTTCCCCAAGAACCCCTCAGAATCCGTCTGAGACTTCAAGAGGAGGGGGCTGGTCCACTTGTCTCCGGCCTGGCTCTGGCCTCCTCATCTGCCAAAGCCTCACAGTACTGTGCCGGCCAGTCCTTGGGGTCTTGATTATGGACTTTGGCCACAAACTTAAGAACTTTCATCTTGCTGGTTTCCAGGTTGGTTCGGGGGCCCCACTGCAATTCATAGTCTACGGGATCAGTGTGGGGTATCCGCCGGTACTCCAGGTAACGCTGCCGCACGAATTCTTCGGTAATAAGTTTCTTTGGGTCCCCAAACACTAAATGCTTCTTTGTGGGGTACACCCCTAAGCGACGCAGAAAGTCCCAGACCTCCGTTTCCTTGATGGTATTGCCCTTCATAAAGATGAGACCCAAAACAATCATCAGGAGGCCGGTGGTGGGCGTGCCTTGATCGCCTCTCACCTCCGCATCCTCCTCCACCGGTTCCAGGGTGTTGATCAGGATGTAGGTGTTGCTTTTGGGTTCCAGTTCCACCAGCTTGTACCCGAAGACGTACTCGAGGCGCTCGGCGGCCAGTTTGAGGAGGTCCGGGAAGATGTCCTTGTAGTCCCCGATGACGTGCTTCAGTATGTCCGTGCGCTTGATCGGGATCTTCTTCTGGTCCTTAATCAGCAAGAACTGCACCAGCTCGGCTACCTTCAGCTCCAGCTGCTGCTGGGACCTGGGCCCCACCTCCGGGGAGGCCTCGGCCCGGCGGGAACCCTGCGACGAAGAGCTCCGGGCCTCCTGGGAGCTGCCCGCCCCACGGGAGGTGCTCGGGGCCTCCTCGGCGGCGCCGCGGCCCCAGTCCCTCTCCCTCTCCGCCTGGGAGTTAGGGCGGCCCCGGCTCCTCGGTTTCTGCAACATGTCCCTGGCGGCGGGAGCCGTAACGGGCAGCGGCGGCAGCTGCGGCGGCAGCGGCAACTGCAAGATCGCAGCGGGGAGCGGGAATTGTGGGTTGGCGCGCGGCACGTCTGGGCAGCCGTGGGCGGGGCCAGAGGGGGCGCGCGTCGCATCACGGAGACTGCGCCTGCGCCGGCGGAGACTGCGCGTTGCGTCGGGGGCGTCTGCCCGGCAGCGGCGGCGGCGGCAATTCTCGTAGCCCGGGTAGTGGTTCTCCTTGTAATTTAGAGCGTTGTCCTCACCAAACCACCCAGAGAACAGGAACCGAAACTCCTAAGTAAGTCTGCGGCTAAGTTCAGGACCACACTCCCCGGCAAGTACTGCAGAAAGTGAGTATTAAGAGTGGTAAAATCGCTAATATTTTAGATGGAGGGAACTCAAAAGTCTGAAAGTGGGAGGAAAGTAGGGTGAAGAGGAAGGTGAGAGCGTCAAATTGAGGCAGAAGCGTTTCCTCCTACACAGAACGACGTTAAGAAGAATAAAAGACCCAGATCACTCCCTCCCCTCGGCTCAGGTTCAAACCCTCACAACCGTTCACCCGCCAGCCCCTAAGAGTTGACCAAAAAATGAGTGTTTGGTAAAAAAGCAAGCTTGCCTTGCAACCAGGACTCTTCTTAACCGCGTTTTCACTCTTTTCAGTATTTACGGTCTATGCATTAAACCCCCTCTGCTCGACAGCTAGGACAAAACCACCCCCTAAAGCACGTTACAGTGAGGTCTTCCCGCTTCTGTCTTTTGGAAAGCACTTGCTCACGTAAACTGCCTTGGGCCCGCAACCACAATTTCAGCAGAAGTGGCTAAGAAGAGGGCTGCAAACAGAAACGTGATCCCTCAAGAGATCCCCATCTAATTTTGGGCATCACCGATCAAGAACTGCCATAATGTGAATCTCTTAAATTAAATTTTCTTAATTTTTAATATCTTAGCCTTGGGGCCCAATGAGAAAGAAAAGAGAACCCAGGAGTGTCATTCCTCATAATCTGTGATGTGTGCACTTTACATATATATTTTTAATTGTGCGGCTCTAATAGCCAACATGAGTCATTTCATTAACTGAAGCCATCTGCAGTCTTATGCTATTACTTCTGCAGATCTTAGCAAATGGGTTCCTTTTCTATTTACTGACTTGAAGAGAAGAAACTGAATTTCCTACTTTGTCTTTTTAAAGCTGCCCAGAAAGTGGGAAAACTTCAAAGAACCAAATCAAATTGAGTTCCTCTTTAATGCAAATATATTCAAAGGAAAGCAATTCAAAACACATTATTTGAATAATGGCATCAAAACACAACCTTATTAAAATTTCATTAAGTGTTAGTAACATAAAATTTTTGTTTGTAATTCAGTATGAAAATGCAATCTGATAATGGCCCTGGAACTGCAAATCTAAATGTAAAGTGATATTCCATGTTGGTGATGCAAGTAGGCTATGATCTGGGAAACTATGAGTAATAACTTTCTATTCCACACAAGGTCTAACAACAATATATCCTCAAGCATGCATCTTAATGACAGACGCTTACTAAGAAAAACAAATATATCATCAAGGCATTCTTTTTTTTTTTTTTCTTTTACAATGAAAATTCATCTGCTTCATTTTCCTTCCTTATAAATTTGGATTTTTCTTAAACCTCCTGCAATCAAGAATTCTGCAGAGGTCCCTCCAGAAGGATTAGTTGTACCATGAGTTTAAAAAAAGAAAGAAGGAGAGAGTGAGAGAAAGAAATCAGCAACCGACAGAGGAGAGAGAAATGGAAAATGAGATGAAAACCTTTGTCAACAATTAGGCTGCATTTTCAGTATAAATCTGCAGTGTCCTTCAGCAGCATCTTAATTCAGATTGTTATACTCAAAATAAGTCAGAAAAGATACTGGTTAAAACACCTCTCTACCCTGTCCAGGAGAATACAGGTGAGAAAATACAGAAATGTAATAATAGTATTAGAATGAACTTTAGGCATTGCTTGAAGTCATCCAGACCACCCTTCATTTGAGAATGACATGGATGTTTGGGGAAAAACTGTAGGGATGATGATGGTAATAACAACACTGACAGTAATAATACATAAACAACAGCTGACAGTTATTACAAAGGTAACTGTGGGTCAGACTCTAAGTGGTCTACATGTATTACACTTCATTTAATCACCATGACAACCCTCTAAGACCTGTGTGTGGTGTTTCTCTTCTCGCAAAGGAAGAAACTGAGGCACAGAGGAAAATATTAACTGTTTGAGATCCTATAGCAAATAAGTGGTGGATCTGGTCCTAAATGAAGACCGTGTCCTTCCAGACACTGCTCTTAACCATATGTTGAAAGAGAACAAAAATACGATGTCCTTGAAAAAGTGAAGGTATGGAGTTAGATGGACCTACCTTAGAAAACTTTGTGATACCAGGGGAGCAACCGACACTCCTTTCTATCTCCAAATCAACAAAATGAGATTACCGTAGTCTTTCCTTTTCCCAAGGGAGTATGTTCCAAGACCCTCAGTGGATGCCGAAACTGCAGATACCACCGATTCCTACATATACTCCTTTTTCCTATACATGCATATATACCTATGATAAAGTTTACCAGTTAGGCCCAGTTAAAGATTAAAAAGAATAACCAATAATAAAATAGAATTATAACAATATATTTAATTAAAGTTACGTAAATATGGCCTGTCTCAAAATGTCACCCTTCTTATGATGTGAGATGATAAAACGCCTCCATGATGAGATGAAATGAGGTGAATGCCACAGCACTGTGATGTAGTTTTAGCCTGTTACTGACCTGAGAGGAGTCAGGAGGATTGTCCGCTTGCCCAGGGCTGCTGACCAAGAGTAACTGAGAGTGAAAAGTGAAACCACAGATAAGGGGGGTCTACTCTGATAACCCAGGCATCAGGGAACTAATGAGATAGGCTTGTCAAGTACCTAGCTGGAGTCTGGGACAGGGATGTTGGTAAGTTTGTTTCTTTCCACAGGGTTTCTGTTAAGGAAAATATATGAGGACTCTACAAAGCTCTATGTAGAATGTTGTTTACTGACCTGAGACACTTGTACACACAAAAATGAGGGAAAGTTCTGGAAAGAAATATATCGAGATGCTATTAAAATTATTTTCTTTTAAAAATGAAATTCAGGGGGCGCCTGGGTGGCTCAGTGGGTTAAGCCGCTGCCTTCGGCTCAGGTCATGATCTCGGAGTCCTGGGATCGAGCCCCGCATCGGGCTCTCTGCTCAGCAGGGAGCCTGCTTCCTCCTCTCTCTCTGCCTGCCTCTCTGCCTACTTGTGCTCTCTCTATCAAATAAATAAATAAAATCTTAAAAAAAAAATGAAATTCAGTGTTGATTGTCTTGCTTGGGAGATAAAAGCCTGCTTCCCTGCACCCCCACCCCGCCTGCTGCTCTGCCTACTTGTGATCTTTCTCTCTCTCAAATGAATAAAAATAAATTAAAAAAAAATATGTTCTCAATGATTTTAATTTCCCATGACACCATGCTCCAGCAGTTGTACACATTCGGATTTCCAGCAAATTCAGTGTGACTTGAGTATGACATTTGTGACTTTGTTCAGCCAGTGAAGTAATAAAGACAAGTGGGGTTTGTTTGTTTTTGTTTTGTTTTAAGATTTATTTATTTGACAGAGCCCATGAGAGAGGGAATAAAAGCAGGGGGAGTGGGAGAGGAGGAAATCAATGCGGGGCTGTATCCTAGGATCCTGGCATCATGACTTGAGCCAAAGGCAGGTGCTTAACAACTGAGCCATCCAACTGTCCCAAGACAAGAGGTTTAAAAAGAAAAACATTTTCAGTTTTTGTTAATGACCTTAATACTTTTATTATTAGACCCAAAAGGAAAAAAAAAAAAAAAGGAAAAATTCTTTGAGGCAGAATTTAGCTAGCTCAGATTTCAAATGCATTGAACAAAGAAATGCCTACCAGTTACCAGTTGCTCTTTAGATGTCTCTGAGTAATTAATTGCTTTATTTCATCTCCTTGGTAGCAAATGACTACCAACAAGCTCTAATCATCTTTATTATCTACTGGATTCTCTTCATTCACTGGTGTTTCTTGCAGAACCAGAGAAAGATTTTAAATTTCCTGCCAACCACATAGTGCAAAAAGCAGGTAAGTGCTTTCTGGGGAGAAAAGCAATGATAAAAGCATGCAGCCACCATATATGAGCAGCTTCACTGCCTTTTCCAGTGAAAGAAAGTGGGACAGTGTGCAGCATGTGAGCAAAGGAGTTGGAGCGGGGGAGGCAGATACTATTTTGGTGCGTAGATAGGAGAAAGACGATTCCAGATACTATAATGGTTGCAATAAATTCCCTTGTGTCCACTCATTCGTAAAAGATCCATACAGGTTAAATCACACAATAGGACTCCTCAATAACACTTTATCCCTTATGGAAGAATACTTTAAATGACAACAGGGCTTCCACCAGCAGAGCTGATTGAAGGGGCTGGAGAGGTGGAGCTTGAGGAGAAAGCTCTTTCCAAGCATTGCAGCCATTTGGCCCAGAAACACCTTCTTAGACTCTTTTCAAGAAATAAAAATCTTCCAGTTATACAGGGCCTTTTACTTACGGAAATCATTAAGGTCTAGTAAATTATAAAATTATAGACACGTAGGGTCTCAAGAGTAGCCAGTAAGTTTGTTGTTTGCTTGTTTTGCCTCTTGCTCTGCATCTTTTTTCCTTTAGGAAAAGATGCTTCTTCCAACCTCTACGAGACCATGTTAAGGCTCTCCCTTTCTTTCCTGGGTGCAGAAGATTCAGACTAGCCACAGCGACTGGTTCAGAAGTCCAGTCAGCATCCTTTCAAAGGTTCACATAGGTTCTTTCTCCAAGCCAAGAAGCGGAGTGGTGACGTAAGCCTAGCCACCTTTGCCTTTGCTTGGACATAGCCTGCCTCATGGTGAAGCCAACTCAAAGATCTAAGAGATGGAGAAATAGTCTTAATGCTGCCATTTGAATTCCTGGATCCCAACTTCCAAGGTCAGGTTCCTGGGGATAACTACTTAGGGAAACAACTCAAATCACCTTTTGCTTTATCTGCTTCCAATTGGTTCTCCTCCTCCCTTGAAACCGGAAAAATTCTGGCTAAACAGTATCCAAACTCAATTAAGCAGGAGAAAAGTAGGTAGGTATTAAGGAATGAGACTTGGTTTCAAGAGAATGGAGCTATACAAAGTGAATATTACCTATAAGGTTATTGAACACAATGAGAAGTGATCTCAATACAATTTGGCATTTTTATTATTTCTGGGCATGTTCTGTGGTTGAGGAATGCTCTTGTGATTTTAACTGCTAGCAATAAGGGCAAAGTAGAAATCATGAAAGACCATTTTTCCATGTAGAATGTACATATGAGCTAATTTGGTGATTTACCGCTGAAGAAAGAAGTTTCAGACAACCTAGAACATATCTTAAAGTATTTGTTATTCTAGAGTAGCTGTGTTCTCCATTTTTAACGCAAAGCATTTGCCACACCTTTCAAGGTGACAGAAACCTCATTCTTTTCTTGTAGGTTTCACTATAGCCTACAACAGAGGTATACTCACAGGGCAAGGACACTAGGGAGGAGAATGGACAAGGCTCATACTCAGAGAGGGGCAAGACAGATAAGCTGTTTGGAGAAAAATGAACAAATTGAAATGGATTAAGAATAAAGTGAATGAGAAAGAAATATGAAATTAAGGCAGACAAGAAAAACCTCATATGTATACATAACTGGTGGTCCTGAAGAAGGTAACAATTATAAACTGAAAACCAGAAATAATATTCAGAGATGGCTGTAGGAATCCTGGACAGATGGTGGGTATGCACAGACCCCTTGTCTCTGATCCCTTCTCCTTCCTGGTTCCATCCCTTGAGCTCCCTTGAGCTAAATCAGCAACAAAAGCAGGTATGCATCCAAGGCTGGAGAGTACACAAAAGCCATGGGTGCTCCAAAATCTGCAAATGAGAGTGTACAGGCTGCTTCCTTTCTGAGATGCAAGAGAGAGCTTGGGTACCTGATAAAGAGAAAGCCTGCCCCTTCCCAAGGACTGGGAAGACCCAAGGTCATGTGGTACCTGTGGGTATTCAGCTGGCAGAAAGCCATGTCTCTCTTCTGAGAGAGCCTACAGCTTTGAGGGTAGTCCTTCAAGAGCCTGTCCAGGCTGCTGACTAATTGCCCTCAGAGGAAACCTTACAGGAAGGTCAAATGCTATCAGGCCTTGATATTGGGAGAGGCCTTGAGCAGTTTCAAGCCCAATCAGCCTGGACTCCAAGAGGCCGCATCATGGTGCCTTAGGAGACATGTAAACAGTGTGTTCTTTGATTCACAGTGGCTCATAAAAGCAAAGTCTGCTGTGCCAGAAACTTCCGGGCCTCTGGCCAATTGCCAGCATACTTACCACTAACTCCAGCAGCATGAGCTGTTGAGGAAAGAAAGAAGTGCAGAACCTGGCACAGGTGAAATAAGAAAATGGCTCATTAAAGACAATCCAAGAATTTATAGAGAAGCAGTAAAACTGACAAAGAGCTACACTGACCAAGAAAGAACACCCAAACTAATAAAAACGGGAATGAAGGAGGGGATATCACTACCAACCTTGAAAAAAATTAGAATGCTATGAGCAATAAAAAACTATATAACAATAAATCAGATAAATTTGGTGAAATGGAAAAATTCCTAGAAAGTCACAGGTTTAAAGAAGAAATAGAAAATATAAATAGGCCTACAACAAAGAAAGATTGAATTAGTAGTTTAAAAACCTCCCACAAAGAAAAATCCAGATCCAGGTGGTTTCATTGGTGAATTCTACCAAAATTATTTTAAAAATAATTTAAACCAACTCTTTACAAACTCCAGAAAACTGAAAAGCCAATTCCCAGCTCATTCTGAGTCCAGTATTATCTTGATACCAAAACCAGACAGTAGGAAAACTACAAACCAACATCCCTTATGAACATAGATGCAAAAATCCTTATCAAAATAGTAGCAAATTAAATCTAATAATATATAAAACAGATTGAAGACAATCCCTATCAAAATTCCAGCTGCATTTTGTACAGAAAGTGACAGACTGATCCTAAAATTCATAAGGAAATTCCAGAGACACAGAATAGCCAGAACACTTTAAAAAGAACAAAGTTGGAGGACTCACATTTCCTCACACTTCTACAATATGTTAAAACTTACTACAACACTATGTTAATCAGAGCTGTGTGGTACTGGCCCAAGCATAAACATATTGTTATGGGATAAATTGTGTCTCCCTCCTTCTCAAATTTATGTTTACGTCCCAATTCCTAGTACCTCAGAATGTGACTGAATTTGGAAATAAGGTCTTTAAATGGGTAAAGTTAAAATGAGGTCATTAGAGAGGGCTGCTAATCCAATAAGACTGATGCTGTCAGAAAGACACCATTCTTTCTGAAAGAAACACACAGAGAGAAGGCCATGTGAGGACAGAGTGAAAAGGAAGTGGTCTGCAAGTCAAGAAGAGAGGCTCAGGAGAAACCACACTAATGAACAGTTTGATTTTGGACTTCTAGCCTCCAGACTGTTAGAAAATAAATTTCTGTTGTTTAAGCCACCCAGTCTGTGGTATTTTGTTAGGCAGCTCTGGTAAACTGATACACATATAAAGCAATGGAGCAGAAGTGAGAGTGTAAAAGTAAATCCATACATCCATGGTTAGAAAGAGGGACCGAGGTAATTCAATGGGGGTAACAAGAGATGGTGCTGGGATAATGGATATTCACATGCAAAAGAATCAACTGGACCCTGACCTCACACCACATATAAAATTAACTCAAAGTAGAATATGGACCTAAATGTAAGAATTAAAACCATAAAACTCTTAGAATGAAACATAGGAGCAAATTTTCATGGCCTTGGGTTTGTCAATGACCTCTTAGATAAGAGACTAAAAGCAGAAGTGATAAACAAGAAGATTTATAAGTTGTACTTCATCAATGTTAAAAACTTGTGTGTATTCAAGGATACTCAAGAAAGTGAGAAGGCAATCTACACACTCTGGGGGAAATTGTTTGCAAATCATGTATCTAATAAGGGACACATATGCAGAAAATAAAACAACTCTTGGAACGTAAGAAGATGACAGAAATCCAGTTGTAAAACTGGGCAAAAGATTTGAATAGACATGTCTCCAAAGAATGTAAGAATGTAAGAATGGCTAATCACATGAAAAAATGTACAACATAATTAGTCATTAGGGGAATCCAAATCAAAACCATAATGATCTACCACTTCACGCTCCAGAATGGCTATAAACAAAAAAGTCAGATAATATCAAGTGTTAGCAAGGAGGCAGAGGGATTGGAAACCTCAGATATTGCTGGGGGGAATGTAAAATGGTACAGCTTCTGTGGAACACAGTTTTATCCTGGGGAATGGGGAATGACCACGAAAGGGTATGAGATTTCTTTTTGGGATAATTGAAAATGTGACAAAATTAGATTAATTATGGTTGCATAACTCTGAAGTATGCTAAAAAATATTGTATACTATAAACAAGTATATTAATAAACCTGTTTTTAAAAGAACCCAAAGAAGGTCAAGCTGAAGAATCTTTGAATAAGTTTTTCCTTCTGAAGTATAATGAAATGAAACAGAAAAGAAGACAAAGAAAACAGTAATGAGAACCATTGAAGGGATGCAGTTAAGACACCCAGACTTTCTGGATCAACAGCAACAGAAAGAATTTATAATTAAAAAGTTAAACTAGAATGGAGCAGAGTCTACTGTTGAAACAGTGATTTTTGCCATTAGCACAAAAATGTTTATATTTTGGGCAACTAATGAACATCTTTATGCTACATGGTTTATGGAACATAGTTTCATCCTTCCTCTGCCACCAGTTTCCTCTGGGTCCTGGAAGACCTCTCACTGGTTAGGTCTCAGCCTCTTCACCTGCAAAAAGGCAGGGCTGAGTTAGGCAAACTCTTTTCAGCTGTAAAACACTATTAATATATGAAAGAATTCTGAGGGGCACTTGGTTGGCTCAGTTAGGCATCCAACTCTTGATTTGGGCTCAGGTCATGATCTCAGGTTTGTGAGATTGTGCTCTGCATTAGGCTCTGCACTAGGTGTGGTTTCTTTTAAGATTCTCTCTTTCTCTCTAATAAAATACCTGTGTGTGTGTGTGTGTGTGTGTGTGTGTGTGTGTGTGTGTGTATTTATAGAAAATAATTCTAAATCAGAAATCATACACACATGTTAAAAAGGAAATAGAAAGCCCCTCCTGAACGCAACATTTAAAGAAATACCTGGTTCCTCGTTTTATTAGATGTCAGTATGCTGGACCATCCTGAGCTTCCCAGAGCATATGCTGGTAAAACAATAAATTTCCTAACTTGTCTCTATTTTTCCTTAAGCGACACAATTCTGTGACTTCTAGGACAAGTGGAGGTCTCCATTTAAAACTACTCTGTGGGAATGAATCTTTAACAGCAGCAAAATATCTTGAAGAAATGGGGGCTTGTTTCTGCTGCTTCCTGCCATCCTGTAACAGAGACACCAGAGAAAGGTAGGCTTTGGGGGGTTGCCTTGGCCCTTGGGTATTCTTGAGAGAAGAACAAAATAAAAAGATAGGTCATAAAGTCAATCATGCAGGCATCGTGATCCTTTCAGAATTGGATCTTCCTTCTCATGAGCATAAACAAGTACCTGTTATCTCAAAGAGATCTACCATATCAAAACATACCAACCTCACTATGAAAGTAGCTTCTGAATTAAGCATAGTGCAATATGTATAACTTAATTCAGGATATTCACAAAAATGCAAAATCAGTTAACATCTGCAAAAGTATGTATAGGTGTATTTATGATACATGATTTTAAACTAAAACCTTCTTTGTTTTACAAGCTTATTTTTTATTTCTTCATATAACCCTGAACTGAAGGCAAGATCTACTGCAATGAAAAATAAAGTAGCACCCTCCCAGCCCCCCCTCCAAAAGTGGTTCAGACACATACAATGGATTAATAAGCAAGTCACACACAATTTTAGGTACACATGTGCTCCTGATTGGGCCCAACCTTGACATGATCCTCTTACCCTGATGTCATCACTTTACTAAGCTATATTCCATTAAATGACTTGAATTTGGTTCCCACCCTGTCTTAATTATGACAGCTGGGAACAGTGAGGTTCTATACAAGAACCATATCAGGATCATGAAACTTAATAAAATCCAGTGTGAGCCTGATTCAGTCGAGACATGTCACCTCATCAATCTTGGGGTTCTGTCCACTCATTTGGCTGACCAGATTTTCAAGTAGACCTTCTGAAAGGCTGCCCATCTGGTAGAAGAAGATAATCTTAACATAAAAGAAGACGACGAAGAACAGAGACAATAGTTTTTTCAGTTAATACAGAAAATGAGTATTTTCAAAAACTAAGAATTGATGTAAAGTATCTTCCTACCTAGGGGAAACAAAGTCAGATGCTCTGTCCTTTGTACATGGGCAACCCTTTCTCTTACCTGGACTCTCACTCACCTGGACAAAAAGGTATTATTGTTGCCTTTCTTAGTATAAAAACTGTTCAAATGAGCAAAATCTGCACTCAACCAGAACTCTCACTTCTGTTCACTTGTCTTTGAGCATTAAGAGACTGAATGCTACCCTATTTCCATGAAACCTTGCAAATCATTTAGGGCATGTCTAACAACCCCGCTAAATAGAGAAGTTGGCCACCTCATTTGTTACAAAGTTACTAGTTCTCTAAGAAGGTACCCTCAGAAATTCAATATTAAAGGAACCTTAGTCCTCTATCCTCTAAGGCTTTCCTTGCATGTACATGAGATGTTTTGGCTGCTAGTGGAGCTTTCAGAAGCCTTGAAAAAAGAAAATATTAAGAATGGCATTCCAGGCAATAAACAAGTTTGATCTTATTTGGACAAAAGGAGGCACAAATAAGTCCTAGGGAAGGAAGAAACAAGAGAATGGGTAAGATAGAACACACATTTTAACGTCAGGGAAAATGGCAACTTTATAAATACAAATATGCTAATTGGTGGGAAATCGGATGGGGTGATGAACCATGAGAAACTGTGGACTCTGAGAAACAAACAGGGTTTTGGAAGGGAGGTGTGGGGAGATGGGTGAGCCTAATGGTGGGTATTAAGGAGGGCATGTATTGCATGGAGCACTGGGTGTGGTGCATAAACAACGAATCTTGGAACACTAAAAAAAAGTAAAAATAAAGTTAGGTATGAAAATAAAAAATATGTTAAGCGGCAAACATCTATCAGTGCTGTGGTTGAGAAAAGTGATTCAAGGAAGAGATAAAGCCCCACACCTAAGCTGAGAATCACATGCATCCAGGAAGGAAGAAAGAGCAGAGGGGAACCTGCTGCCTACTTACATGTCTGACCCAGCTGGTTGGCTGCAGTGTTGCTTCCCACAACCAGGAATCCACTGTGGGAAGGACAGCCCTAAATGCACAAGAGGCAGAGGAGCTCGGTTTTCTGAAGGACTCCTGCCTCTTGAAGATGGCAACATACTGTCTTCTGGCTGGATAAACCAGGGCATCTTTCTTGAGAAGTGTGATTTTTTTTTTTTAATTCAGATTTTACTAATCTCACAGGTTTGAGAGAGGTGGTGTGGGAAAAGCAAATGTTAGCTAATTAACTGTTTCCTGGGATCCAATCAGTCATTAAAAATGTGCTTGTGCAATTTTCTTGAGCTGCTCAATTGTTTATAATTACCATTGGTTCATACTACTCACGCATGTTTTCTTTTCCCTTCACATTTATTTCTAAGCAAATTACCTAATTCACTGTGGTTATTACTCTGGATTACTCTGGATATATTACTATATATTGTGAAACTTCACACAGTAATTAATGTGGATATATCTGTTATGCTTAATCCTTTGTGCCTAGGTCTGATCATCAGGTGCAAATTACAGAAATTCAGCCCAACTCAATTGCCACTTAATATTAACATCCATTCACGTGTTCATTTGATTAATCTTACTCAACGGTGGTATTTTCTAAATTCATAAGTAAATTATACAACCCACATAACAAGTGACTGGTTTAAGAGTGGACATGTGGCCCAGTTCTGGCCAATGAGATACTGAATATTTTGGTGATATGTGGGGGGAGGGGCATCTGAAAAATGTTTACTTGCTCTCAAAAAGAAGTTCACAGGAAAACAATTCCTCTTCTACTAGACATTTTATATCTGCCTGTAATGCCTCAAGCAGTCATCTAGTGACCATGAGCAGAACTAAACTGACACATCAAACTATTGAAACTGGTAGAATTAAAGCTAGAGAGAATCTGGATCTTGGATGACTTCTCTGGGCTGCTGAACCAACTTACTCTGGAGCAGCCCACCTTTGAACTTGATATTTGAGAAAATTTATGTCCTTTGTCATTGAAGGTTTTGTGAATTGGGTTTTATGTAACTTACAGCCCAAAGCATCCCAGCTGACATCTGTAGACAAGAGAATCCCAGCAAAGGGAATATATCAGTTGGTTGTTCACACTTTACCTGGAGAAGCCAGGGCTCCCAGTTATCTGCCATGTGCGAACCCCCTTCACCTAGCTCTGAGATCTACAGATGTTTCAATATCAGCTTGAAATACTGCTGAAGGTTGCGGTACAAGACTGCAAGTTGGCCAGTCAGCCTCCCTCTCTATGGCAAAAAGACATTTAGATGTTATCGAGGACCTGCGAAGGTGGAGGAGCTAGGATTTTCCCCGATATCCAGAGTCTGTAAGTTAGAAAGGCAGAATTTGCTTGGAAGTCCTATAGATACGTCCTTATATTTCATGGATCTCACCCTAGCCTCAGTGATGCCCATCAGCCAGTGGTTCCTTTTGAGTACCCACTGAGAAGTTTACTCTCACTCTACACTAGAACTTCAAAGGATATCACAAACTTCCCATTGCTCAATTCACTGTTTCAAGCAGGGTCATTTCTCTTCCTGCCTGATGGACTTGGCATTTTAGCTTCCCAACACCATCTTCCAGGAGACTGAATCTTCAGTTCTCTGCCACTTGGCCTATACTGGTCCCTGGCTCCTGAAGCCCTACTCTATGCTACAGACTTGGTTCCCAGTTTTCTTGGAAAGAGAAGACAGGAAGTTATAACCTGAGGGTCTGGAGGTTTTCAGGAGTGCCAATATGTCCTGGCTGTGTGGACTCATGCAGCATCCCCAAGTCTAGCCTTGTTTCCTGCCTATAACTGTTAGTAATATGATGAAGACCAGGAGACAGCTGAGCTCTGAGAGCCCCAGGATGGCCAGCTAGTCACATGTTCTCTCCTGCATCTGATGATGCCTGGGGTGGAGGTGTGTCCAGAGGCTGACCTACTATTGCTCCCGATGGCCTTTGATAAGGGTGCATGCTTAGCACAGAGAGCCAAAATCAGTGACTCTATAGACCAAAGATAGTATGGAGAAGCTGCATCTCTGGAAAAGCTCAGAGTGAGAAGCAACTATCCCAAGCCAGAGTTGGCAACCCAGGGGCCTCTGAGCAGGAGAGAGGGAGCCCATATGACTTACCTGAGGTTGGCCAGCTGTCTCCACTGACAGAGAAGTTGCAGTGTGGGTCTGAAGAAAATCTAGCTCTATCTGCTTCTGAAAATGGACACCATCCCTATTCCTACCCCGCCCTCTGCCATACCTAAAGTGCGACAATGTAGTTTGTCAGCCCAGCTCCCCCTTCCCCCCAGAGGGAAAACAGTCCCACCCTATCTGCTTCCATCTCTTCCTGTTACTCTTTCATGGCCTTAAAGGGGATCTTGCCATAGCCACCAGCGAAGCCCAAACCAGCACTGGGGGAACGCCTAGCAAAATGATCAGGCAGAGCAAACTCACATGCACACTGAAGAAGCACAGTGGTTTAAAGAAAGGAGAGAGCCAAATTCCAGAACAGATGGCTACTATGGAGCAGAACAAATAGAAGAAACAGAAATAGACTATCAAATAAAAACATAATGAGAACGCATAAGGAGACATTATTAGAGCACAATAAAATGCTTCTAGAACAGAATAATTCTCGGTTTTTAAATTTAAAATTCTAGAAGAGGTACTATAAAAGAGAATAGTCCCTGCTGAAAACCAAATCACTTATTTAAAAGGTTCAAGTGAAAGATGTGTCACACAGTACAGGACAGAAGTTAATGGAATAAAAATCAATCACAGGGGAAATATCAAGATATGAAGGGCAGAGAAGGAGGCAATATTATATAAATGACAGAAGTTTGGGAGAAAAAACATATGACAGAATAAGTGAAGAAACCATATAAAAGGAAATGCAACTCAAGTCTTCAGATTTGAAAGGGCTCTTCAAAGGCAGAATTTAGCCCCATCCTTGCTAAAATTTCTGAATTTCAAGAATAGAAAAGTTGTACAAGCTTCCAGACAAAAAGAGTTAAGTTGTTTCTAGAAACAATCAGTCTAATATCCCACTTCCCACTTGTAAACCAAAAATTCTCTACACAGGCAAGCTATTATTACATGAGTACAAAGGAATAGATTATGGGCCTTGCAGAGTGGGAAGCAGGTGTCCCAGGTATCCTCTTTGAGAAGACTCCAGTATACTCTCACCAAAGAACCAAATCAAACAAGGACCTATGGGAGGTGAAGATAGTTGAATAAGCATTAGGACAGATCTTACAATATTTATTTTAAAATCTTAAGGGACAATGACAACATGAATGTAAATGATACTACATTTGTTCATCATGATTCTTGAAGTAGAAAAAGGAAGATTTTGGTAAAAGCCTGGACCCAAACAATCTCAGCATATCCCGGGAATAAGAAGAGGCAGGAGATGGAATATAAGGAAAAATGATTCTAAAGGTCTTGTCCAGGTAGAGTGAGATCAAGAGGACAGTGAAGGTACTTCAATGGGAGGGTGTGCTATTTAATAAGGTTTGATCTCTCTGTTCCAAATCCACTGCTCTCTTGTGCTGGGGTTGGATCTCTGAAGTTATGTTTTACTTCTGTTAGACGCCTTTCTGTTGGGTTCTTCTAATAAGGGGCAATGGGGTAGCCTGAAAAGTGGGGCAGGGGGTAGGACATGCTTCTTCCTGTTTGCTTGCTCTTCTGGTCAGTAAAGTCCTAGCAGTACCCCCTGCCTTGGCATCAGCAATTGGTTCCAAACTCCTTGAACACTCGCAAAACCAGCTTCATTGTGCTCTCACACAGGAATGATCATCAGCAAGGTACATCCCTATAGATATTAAAAGGATACGAGAATATGAATTACAGTGTTCACCAGTACTTTTGAAAACCAATGAAATGGGCAAATTCCTTGGAAAACAATAAAACAAAACCTATACAAGAAAAAATGCACAAGGTTATAACAGTCCTGGGAACTACTGAATCTGTAATTCCAAGTTTTCCCTCAAATAAAAAACAAAACCCAAAAAGCCCAACCTACGAGACTTCACTAGTGAAATCTACTGAATGCTTAAATGAGAGATAACATCAGTCTTAAATAAATGCTTCCAGGAAAGAAAAAGAGGAACTATTCCCATTGTGTTTTATAAAGAAATCACAACTTTAATATAAAAAACTGACAAGGACTTTTTAGAAAAATGAAGATAAAAGACCAATCTCCCTCACAAATATATAATCAAAAGCCCCGAAGAAAACATTGACAAACAAAATCAAGAGATTCAACATTGAGAAAGCTGAGTTCAATCTAGGAAAAGCAAATTGGCTGAACATTCAAAAGTCAATCAAGGTGATTCACCCTATTAACAAAATAAAGCATATCTTTCATATGGTCATCTCAAAAAAGAAAGAAAAGTCAAGGGAGAAAATTCAGTATCTATTCATGATCTTAATACTAACAAAACAAGAAACTCAGAAATCTGGAAAAAGAAGGGAACTTAATTTATCACTGCAAATAATATACATTAAACATCACTCTTTATTGTGAAGTATTGAAAATGTTCCTCTGAGGGGTGCCTGGGTGGCTCAGTGGGTTAAAACCTCTGCCTTCGGCTCAGGTCATGATCCCAGGGTCCTGGGATCAAGCCCCACATGGGGCTCTCTGCTCAGTGGTGAGCCTGCTTCCCCTTCTCTCTCTACCTGCCTCTCTGCCTACTTGTGATTTCTCTCTCTGTCAAATAAATAAAGAAATTTAAAAAAAAAAGTTCCTCTGAGATGAGGAGTAAAAGTTATAAAGATTGAAAAAAACAAAATTGTCTTTTTCTTTCAAATGACATGATTCTATATGTATAAAATTCAAAAAATGTATAGATAAACCATTAGAATTAATAAATTATCAAAGTGGTTGAAGATAAGATCCACATGCATAAATCTGTTTTGTTTCCATTTTTCAATGACAAACAGAAAATGGAATTAAAATAAATGCCATATGTGACACATTTTCCCAAAGATGGATCCCATAAGACTTTTGTACTATAATGTGGGTGGCTGCTTCTCCCACCAAGAAATGGGGACAATTTTTCCACACCCTCAAACATGGGCTAACTTTGTGACTTGTTTTGAACAACAGAGTGTGGCAGAAGTTGCATCATGTGGATTTTGGAGCCTACGCCTGAAGAGCCCTGCATCTTCTGCTTTTGTCCTCCTGGGAAACTCCCTTTCACAGTGCTGTCTTTGCTGTGGACAGATGCCCCACCCAGACTAATAAGTGATGACAGGAGAGGCATCAAAGTTCTGAATATGTAAGTGAGGCTATTGGAACCGACCACCAAGCATCTTCCAGTCATAAGGTGAACAGAAGGGACTCCAGGCAAGACCAAGAGAACACCTAGAGAGGGGCACCTGGGTGGCTCAGTGGGTTAAAGACTCTGCCTTCAGCTCAGTCATGATCCCAGGGAGCCTGCTTCTCCCCCGCCCCTCTCTCTGCCAGCCTCTCTGCCTACTTGTGATCTCTGTATGTCAAATAAATAAATAAAATCTTTAAAAAAAATCATCAGAGATAATAAACTGTAGGTATTTAAGCCATGACATTTTGAGGTGGTTTGTGGCACAGCAGGAGATAACTGATCACTATGCACAAGACTGCCAAAAAAATTAAAGATGGATAGATAAACAGGATTTATCGCTAATGAAAAATATGTAATATCTCTACTCAGAAATTTATAAAACAAAATATTATCAAAAGAAATTAAAGATGATCCAAATAAATATTCATAGGATGGCAAACACACTGTGGTAAAAATGTCAATTATCTCCATATTGATTTACTGATCCACTATAATCCCATCAGAAATTCTAGCAGGGTTTCCTTGTAGAATTTGACAAGCTGACTACAAAATTTATACAAGAATGCAAAGGGCCATGAATAGCCAAACAATCTTAAAGAACAACAAAGTGCTTACTTTATTGGATACCAAGATTCACTTACAAAGTTTTAGTTATTTAAGACAATGTACGATAAAGACAAAAAGACCAAAAAAAGCAAATAGAGAATCTAGGAAGAGACCCATAGATACAAGAATACTTCTACATCACAGGGATGATATTGCACAGCAATGACGGAAGACTGTCTTTTGAATAATTGGGTCTAGGTCAATTGCATATTTATGTGGAAAAGTAAAACTATATTTTTGGATCATAAAAAACTAACTTTCAGTAAATTATAGTTCTAAATTCAATAGGGAAAATAATAAGACTATTTAAAGTTAACAGAGGAAAAAATCTTTATGACCTTGGGGTAGGAAAATTTTATTTTAATCTAGACACCAAAAAGATCATTATGAGATGAAAAGGCAAGCCCCTGAATGGAAGAAAATAATATGTGTCTGTATATCTACATGTGTGTGTGTGTGTGTATGTGTGTGTGTGTGTCCTTCTGACAAATTACAAACAACTTGATAAAGGAAGGGCCTATTTCCCAAATATATATAAAAACTCTTTAAAATAAGTACCTACAACATAATGGAAAGTGGGCAAGAGCTTTTTATAGGTACTTCACGAAGGAGGGTATCCAAATGTCTAATAAACATATGAAAAGGCATTTAGCCTCATTACTAATTAAGGAGATGCAGAATAAAACTATAGTGAGATACCATGATTCACCCACCATATGGCTCAAAGGAAAATCACTAGCATCACCAAGTATAGGTGATAATGGAAAAAAAATGGAACTTTTGTACTCTGCTGGGGATAATGTAAACTGGAACAACCACTATGGAAAATTATAGGACATTATCTATTAAAGCTGAACCCATGTACCCTAGAATTTTACTTCTGCGTAGTGCACAAAAAGATACTTAAGTGAATGTTCATAGCATTATTTGCAATAGTCACCAAATTGAAATAATCTAACTGTCCATCCACAATAAAATACATAAATAAAATGTGGGACATACATACAGTAGAACACAATACAGCAACAAGAATTAAAGAACCACATCTAAATGCACCAACACGAATGGATCTCATTCTTTCTTCGTTGCTTTTGTGCCCTGCCCTCCCAGGATATGGGTACCAGAGGGACCCTCTTAAAAGCCTCTTCTCTGCTCACCATTACAGAGGTCCTGACCTTACTTAGGATAAAAGGCAAAGTCCTTTAAATCATCCACCAGTCTCCACACCAGCAAAGCTCCCAGCTGCACCTCTAACTTCAAGGCCTTTTACTTTCCCCTCAGACACTTGCCTCCAGCCCCACCTCTCCTTGCTGTTCCCAGAGTATGCTCTTTACTGGCTATTCCCTCTGCCTGGAAAGTTTTCCAACCCCGCCCCTTCCTAGGCCTCAATGGATGGATCGATGGATCACACAGCTCACTCTCACCTCCTTCAGGTCTCCAGCAACAGGAGAGCACCTCTCACCACTCTATCAAATAGTCCTTCAGTCCTCTTATTCCTTATGGGCTTCCTAGTTTTCCTTTTTTTACTCTAACACTTAGCTGCATGTGGCATATGATTTATTTTCCTTTTTTTTTTCTATCTCCCTGAACTAGAATAAATCTTCATGAGAATGGGAATTTTTCCTTTTTTTTTTTTTCATTGCTCTATCCTCAGCATCCAGAACACTTCCTGGCACAGAGAAGGTACTCAATAAAATCCTATTTAAGAGTGGCCACATAAAAGGCACTGAAATGTTAACTGGAGCGCTCTATGCTTAGCAGGAGCTTGTCTACCAGTGGGCTTCACTAATGGGTTCCCCTACCTCCCCAGACCTGGGATTTTCTTCTCCCCTTGGACAGTGGATGTCTATGGAAAGGAATCCTCGTGCTTCAGCCCAAGGATGGTTGGGACTAGCAGTCAGTGCTCTGGGAGTTGCAAAGAGGGAGTCTGAGATGGCCAATGGTGGCACACCCTCACCCTTCTCCCCCAGACCCTCACTTAATCCTACATGACAGAGACAGTTTGTGTCCCTGGAACATCCATGTGTGCTGCAGGAGCTCCAGCCTCCCTCAAAGATGGGATGGGTCATGTGGCCAAGTCTGGAGAAGCAGGGTTGTGTCACTTCTTGTCTGAGGCACTTAACAGTCAGGGGACCCCCCCCCTTCCTCTCCCTAGGCAGCTATGTGGGGATCATGGATAAGATGGTACAGACACAAACAGAAACAGTCTCAACACCTCTCTAACTGCACAGAAGAAAACTGCCCAGAGGAGTTGCTCGGCTCATATGAGACATTTTGTGAGCAAGAAGCAAACTTTGTTATGTAGAGCCATTGAAATTTCAAGGTCTTTTTTGTTTGTCTATTTTGTTACTGCAGCATAGACTAGCTCATCCTGACTCGTCCCCATAAGGCATCGCTCTCCTGCCTTAGCTGTACCTGTAATCTCTCCAGCTCTCCCTAATGTCTCCCTGGTGCAACCTCTGTCTACTCTTGGAGAGTGACAATTTCATAGCTATACAGTCTCAGATTGGGACTCGGGGGGTACAGTGGGTATGGGTCTAACTGCTTATAGTACAGATTAAACCAAACCTCTAGTTTTTGCCCCATCCACATCCCTGCCTTCAGGAACATCCAATGCCTCTAATTCCTGAGAGTTTTCAAGGCTATACGGTACAAATCAGGTTGTTTCTTCCTGGATCTACCTGGCACCTCCAGCACTTGGCAGAGCTGGGAAATGCAGAAGCCAGCCATCATGCAATGATATGCTTTTCATCCTTGTAAAACTCTGCTGGCATTTCCCATCTGCCCATTTCTTCTTCATGAGTTTGAGTCTTTTTAATTTTTTAAAAATTAATTTCCTTTCTTTTTTTTTTAAGATTTTATTTAGTTGAGAAAGAGAGCATAAGCAGGGAGGGGAGAGGGAGAGAAGCAGAGTCCCCACTGAGCCAGGAGCCCAATGCGGGCCTTGATCCCAGGACCCGGGAGTCATGACCTGAGCTGAAGGCAGACACTTAACTGACTGAGTCACCCAGGTGCCCCAATTCCTTCATTTTCATTTTATGGGTATTTCAGGAGGAATGCTAATAAACAATGCTTATTGAATATTTACTTTAAATATTATTGTAGTCATCATTGATAATAACAAAACATTTAGATTCATATAGAGGTTTTTTTCTTCCCAGAAGTTCAAAGTTCATTTAAAATGTCAGCTAAAAGAACAAAAGGAAATGTTACTATTATCTTTTGAAAACTAGAAAGAGTGCAGCCCTGAGGTCTTAGAAACTGTTTACCACCTAAACACCAGGGCACAGTCTAAGCTCCCATTTCATGGTTTTCTCATTTTTCTACAACTAGACATTACCTTGAATGCTATAATTTATATCCCATTTCCCCACCTTCAGTAAAAAGCTCATCTGTATCACTCAAAGAATAACTAGCTGAGGCCTGACTATCATTTTGCCAGTATTTTGAGGACCTTAATAAGTTATTTCACCACTATATGAATAACAACCATCACAGGCTTTGGTTCCTAATTTCATATATGACTTTTAACATGATTATGTTCCCAAACAAAAAAATATACAATAACATAATGGAGAGATGTATTTGGGGGTTGGGAAACGCAGAGGTTCACCACTGTGTAGCTGGACATCTTGGTTTAAAAAGAAACATAGGGAGGGAGGATAACACTTCTTTCATTTCTCACTTCTTTTCCACTCTTATGTATTCTCTCGAATACATGATTATAAAAAGTGCCAAACACAGGTCAAATACATTCGCCATGGAAAACATGATAAAAAGCAAAGTTTCCTGCTTCCCACAACTACTTTGTATTAAAGCACAATGATGATGCTTTCTCTACTGCAGTGATGCATACAGACAGAATCTCTCTTAGAGACCTTGTATCAATCATGCTTTCACAAAAACACACCAGCAGGCAGGATCTGTATGATTCACAGCACAACCACCATTGCTTATCATGATGCTTTTTCTTGATTAAGATCCTTATGGGGCAAACATTATTGAAGAGGGCAGAAAACAGAGGTGGACATATGTATTAGGTAGGTAGGCCTTTGGGCTATAAGTGTTAGAAACCCATATCTCTGTCTTTGGCTTTACTCTCTCCCTGGAGCATGGCTTTCATCACACACTGGGAAGCGCAAAAGTGGGCAGTGCTGAACAGCACATTTCAAACTCTGCCAATGGGGACAGGCTGCCTGTGGGACTCCCTGAGCTAAGTCCAGATATTCTGAGAAGTGGGATTCTCCAGTCTGCCAGGGGCTAGTTGCCACGTCCAAATCAATACATTCATGCTGTCTGGACAG